CAGCTCTCCAGGTTGTCCTTCCAGGCTTTGGCGGCTGCTCTCAGAGGAGCCCGAGGGTCCTTGCACCATCAAATGAGCAGCAGCATCACCTCCCCATTGCTTCAGCATCGGAGGCAACCACAATAATCTCTCCCTCTGGTGTTGTCCCCGGGGCCGCGGGTGCCACAAGAATGCACGGGGATGGGTGTTCAGCTGCGTTCTGGGCCGCTTGTGAGCTGCCCACCGTGCCGCCCCCTGTTCGCTGCTCCCCTCTCCTCGGGATGTGCCCTGAGCAGCCACTGTGAAACAGCTGGCACAGACCTGGCTCCAGATTCCAGCCCCTGGGCACGGCTGAGCCGGTGGTGACACAGGGACAAACGCTCAGGGAAGGGGCCGGGAAGGATGCTGCAGGGGATGCCTCGCAGGAGCGTCAGGAAAGAGATGGCAGAACAGCAGCAAAGACTTCACAGCTCTGCAGGTCCCACCTCTGCAGCCCCTTGCTCAGGCCAGGCTGCTGAACCTGCTTTCCTCCGCCAGCAGCCGGAGCGGGGCAGCTCACACATGCCACCTCCCACTCCTGCAGGAGTCCCCTCTACATGCTTCTCCCCAGCACATATTTTGCGATCACGAGTGTTAGAAATGGACGTGACAGACAAGGAGGCATTGTCGGGGCAGCCGAGCAGCAGGGCGTTGGACGCGGGCAGGACAAAGGCTGTTGTGTTTCTTCCATGACAATGAGCGCTGCGGGCTTGCACAGAGGCACAGCGGCTTTCCAAGGCGCCCTTCTCCTGCCGAGTGTGCTTTCCTGGAGTGAAGGGAACCCAGCTGCTGTTGGTGCTGGTGTGTCTGTGCTTGTGGGCGATGCTTTGTGTTCCTCCTGCAGGAACCAGCCCCTGAACACGCTCCCCATCTCCCCCCACAGGTGCTCGGTTTACTGGTGTGGTCTCTCATCGCTGCCACAACGTACCACCTCCATGCGGCATACGGCTGGGTGATGTTCGTGTCCCTCTTCTTCTGGATACTAACACTCCTTTTCTTCGTGACTTACCTCCTGCAGCTTCATCAGAAGTTCTACATGATCCCTTGGCCCCTCGTGGTGCGTAGCTGAGAGGGAATGAGGGGGGGTGGGTTCCCAAGAGGGAAACACCTTGGAAAGATAGTCTGGGAAAGATAGTCTGGGAAGGTTTGTCTTTTCTTGGATGGAGCCGAGTCCCCTGCACTTTGCACAGTGACATTGTTTCATTCTGCCCTTGAATTGATTGGAAAATGCTCAAATCAGAAACTTGCAGCCACCAGCTGCTGCAGTTGCGGTGTCATCCGAGAACCGCCCAGCACAAGCCGGGGAGCATTCAGTGTGTTCTCCAGGGAACGGGGAGGAATGCGAACCCGAGCCTTTTGCTCCTGCCTCTCCCCAGCACGCACGAGCCTGAGCCCAGAGCTCAGGTTCTCCTTTGCTTTCCGCAGCTGATGATCTACAACGCCGTGGCCACCGTGCTGTACATCACCGCCTTCGTGACGTGCGCGGCCGCGGTGCAGCCCACGTCCTGGCGGCAGTGGGACTACAACCGCAGAGCCGCCGCCTCCGTGAGTAGCGGCGGGCAGGGGAGGGCCG